ACTTTTACATCTAGAAAACTAGATAATTACTTTTAGAGCACCCGCAGACCACGGACTTTTTACTGATGGTTTGACAAGTCGGGTCTCATGCTAAAATCGGCACAATGTGCACATCCGTACATATTCATACTGATTAACCGATTGAACTATCTTCCGATAAAAAGTCTGTAGTCTACGTGGTCTCTTATGCATGCCTTCATCCAGACATTAATAGTTCTTAACCAGTTAAGTAATTTCTCTGCTATACTTAGCAATAAGTTATGAGTAATGGCCAATTTGCTAACTAAGTTTAAGTAAGTTCGTATGAAGCCAGCTGCGTCGTTCACGGTTCATAAACCGTACATATTTCATGTAAACTTATGTTTGCAAGTATGAAACTTACTTTGGCGCTAAGTAGCCTTCGATTGTAACTTGATGTAATACTAAGGTAAGTGTATTAAGTCTGCTACACACGTTCTGTTTTAGCTGAATATATGGACTGTACAGATAACTGTACATGCCATCATACTAATATTATAAATGCAAAAGTTTAGATGAATGGATGGATGGATGTTTGTTAGAGTTTGTAGCCAAAACGGCTGAACGGATTTCGATGAAATTTGGTATAGATGTAGAGGATAGTCTGGAAGAACACAAAGGCTACTCACTTTTGTATTTTTATAATTCCACGCAGACGGAGTCGCGGGCAACAGCTAGTATATTCATAAGACTAACGGTTTTATTAATTTCCTTTTTATATATAGCTATGAGATGTTTTATTTTGTATTTAAACGTTGGCAATAAAAAAAAGAAACAATTAAGATTTTTTTAAGAACGTAATAAAAGTTTTATGTTAACCTCTCAGAGATATTTTTAATATCGAAGACGTGAACGACGATATTAAATTCGAGATTACCACTTAAAAATAATGGTAAATTTTTAAATAACTTAAAATGTAATAGGTGTATTCAAGCTCATAGCCTAGCTTAAGTGGGTAACTAGCCTTGAGAAATTCATAAACCGAAAACCGCATTGTCTCTTCAAATATGTGGTCGGCTCAAGTGTCGTGTCCACCATTAGCATTATTCTGCACATGAACGTATGATGTCCCGAGCTACCAAGATATTTGAAAACGACAATACTTTTCGAAGATCGAACCCAGGACTCTTATATTACAAGTCCAGTGCTTAAACCAAAGCGGCATAGAGGCAAAATGTATTATCTATCTATACTATTATAATGAAGCGTAAACACACACTTCTTTGTTACCTAAGATGTCAGCAATTAAAGAATAATTTTGAATAATCCCTTTTTTGATAAAAAGCTTTAAAACTGGGGCATGCTTTAGACTAGTAAATATTTTGGATAAAAACCCTAATGTGGAAAAGAAACCATAAGTTGCTGCCAACATCAAGAAAGAAGGATTGCTAAGGTTTGTCATGTTGACATTTGCTATTGATAATTTGACAAATGTAAACAACAAAATAAAATTTTCATAATTTCATGCGGATGAAGCCGCACGGAAACAGCTAGTCATAGATATCCATACAATATTGGCTTAAAAGATGTCTATCGGGACTATAAAACCTTGTCCATATAATCAAATAAAACAGCTATCAATATTTCGTCAACACAATATTATAGCGCGGCCGTAATGAAAGCTACATAATCGAATCACTACGACGAATAACGAGCAATTTCGCTTCGCAAAGGAAATAAAGTTTTTTCATATTGCTAATAAAACGGCTCCCACGCAAAATGTTGTAAGGTATAAACTGGAATTTTTCTCGAGTGCTCTTCAAGTGTACGTAAGCCCCCTAAGTTAGGTCTAAAATATTGCAGAACTATTAAATATACTTGATTTAAACAAGATAACACATTTTATTTTTCAGGAATAATAATATCCAAAATATTTGACAAACATGAAAAATAAATTTGCCGAAAATGGAGTTACGACTTTATACGTAGAATCCCTCGTAAGATACGGTAGGCGGGGACTCTGAACGTTTACGACAAATCGAAGTGGACTATTGTTATCGTCGGAATGATTCTGAGATGTCCGTATTTCATCGCCTTCGAGAGGCATCGATATTTACGGATTCAGTAAATAGATTCAATAAGCGATAGTACCTAAGTTACTATTCAATTTTGATAGTATTCACATCTGGTTATATTGCTGGATTTTTGTAATCTATACTTGTAAATATAATAAACCGTAAACAACACACACTATGAGCCATAGGGTGTCAGCAATCACAGCATATTTTTGAATAAGTCTTTCTTTAATAAAAAGCCCTATACTTACGCGCTTTAGGCTATATATTTTTACGCTATTAAACTTATGGGGTAAATAAATTGGAAAAAAGCTCCACGTGGGAAAGGGAACATAAACTACAAGCTACCAACATTAAGGAATCAAGGTTATTATGGTAACAATAATTGACATTTGGAACTGAGAGTTTAAAAAAAATAACAAATGAAAACAACAAAATAAAGTTTTTATAATTTAAGGGTAAAGCCGCATGGGAACAGCTAATATACCTATAAGGAAGTTATTTTTCTTACCTTGGAAAGCTGCTTCGAAACGCACCGGCTCGAGTGTCGGCTCGCGGCAAGCAACCGAGGCCAACAGCACAGCGAACAGCGCGGCGAGCGGTGCGGCGAGCGGCGCGGCGAGCGACGCGTCGAGCGGTGCGGCCATCGCAACACTACGCCATGCCATCTCCGCCCATGCTCGAGCTGGTCACACTCTGAAATAAGAAAAGGAAACCATTATTAACATGTGACATGATTTTTTCGTCTAAAAGTTGACGCGTCAACCGAGTCTGTAGCATCAAAGGTTTATTATCATAACCTTTCAAAAGGACGCTACTATAAGGTTTTAATCGCGATGGTATTATCCAGAGAAACAGTCGCATAATAATTTTCGAAGTTTCTGTTTATATTATAACCTTTTAAGTATGATCCCAACATTACGTATTGCGTTTCTCGTACATAAGACATTGCATAGAAATCAATAAAAATTCGCTTACACAAATCCAAACAGAATTGAATATGTTATTCAAAAGCGTTGTTGTACAACTCAATTGTAAGTAATCCGTAGTCGCGTGGCTCCAATCCAACACACATTCTATCTAAGCTATTCGATTCTGTAAAAGAATTTGTAAATTCTGCTTTCAGATATTTATTTTATTATAATGAAGTTGTTCGCACTGTCATACTTGAAATTAAATGTCTACCGACTATTTGTCTCAATTTTTTGGGGGGTAGATTATTTTCCTTTGGGGCCTCCTTAAAGCTTAAACTGTCACGCGTGCATCTATGTTTATAGCATTAAAAGTGTTGCTATTCCAATCGCCCTTTTTCCCTAAGAAATAAGTTTAGGAATTCAATTTTTTAAAAATTTATCCAACTTGATAGGTTCATAGGTCCATTTGTTCGTTGGATAAAGTTATAAATCCCGAACAAGCAATCAGTTACAGAGTTACAATAAAAGAGGACTGATTTAATTCAGAAGAGAACCTTAGGTAGCTAAGACATTCATATAACCCTAGTCTTATTCCGTCCGATTTTCTTTGTAACTACGAAGGCCATGACGCCGTTTTGCCGACCCTTTGCTTAAATCGTCAGGATCGATTTACGCTAGGGTTGGCACGTGATAGACATTTATCTTATCTCTCCTTAAATTAGAAACTCCAAAAGGCTTTATTTTTGACGAGTAATCATAATCTTTATCTCTTACATTTTAATTAATAATTGTTGAAATAAACTATAAGGTGAATTTTAAAAAAAAGTCCAACAATCATCTTATGCTGCCAGATAGAAAACATTATGTCGCTTGGAAAATTTTTGACACGAATTTAAAATGTATTACCCCAATAAATTGGATTTTTAGTACAAAAGACACATACAGTTCTTTGCCAACCCTGATAACTTTTATTTACTTGGAAAATGCCGAAAGTACAGAATACGTGACGTCTTGCATTTGATGTGACACAGATCTAACGTTTTAAGCGAAATTCGAAAGAATTCAGGCGAGATTTTTCACAAATAAAACATTTTTATTTTTATTCAAATTTTTATTCAAGTTCAAGTATAAAATTAGGTTGTACGAGCGTTTTGAAAACAAGATTTTTTACCACAGGAACATACATTGGAGTAACATTGGAGAAACGATGATGTTACTTACCTTTAAAATCTTTTTTATTTAATAACTTAAGGACATAAAATAATTTCAACGTTTCAATTTTATTAAAGTGACAGATAAACATGACACTGAGAAATGACATTTGACACTGACATTTCAACCGACAACTGAGCAAAATGTAAACATTAAAACTTTATCACTGTTTTCTTTCTATAGTTAATTAATAAGGCTTTATTGGATTTTGTCGTGTGTTTTTCTAAAAGTCTATCAACTATTCCATTTATTTTATTCAAATCTAAATAGTGAATTTGAGTGATCGTGTTTATTCTAATATGAACAGTTTTAAAGTTCTGTTTACCTTGGCATTTTTCGTTTGTTTACTCGAAAGAGTAAAGCTTTTAGATAATGGATTGGCAAGAACACCCCCAATGGGGTGGATGTCGTGGGGCTACTATATGTGTGGCGACAATTGTTTGGACCAACCACACAAATGTCTTGAGTAAGTAAACAACTTAGAAATAAATTGCTGTTTACAAGAAAATATACCAATAAGCATCTAAACCGTGGCCGGTTGACAACCAGTAGGGATAGTTAAATACTTTTTTACACATTTACATTGCATCTACTAGTTTATTTCTGACAGTAAATGTTGTTTTTCTTGCTTTTACATATATTTTTATAGCCCAGAGCTAAAAACACTAGTTTCACAACGATATACAATCTTATTTTTAATTTATGACTGCCTACAAGAAGGAAGCTGCAATACTGAGGAAAGTATAGATGGATTGTGTGAAAGAGGAGTGAATTCAGATATGACAGCTGATGGAGTTGTATGAAATGGTAGATTGTGATCATCCTCTGTAGTAACAAATGCAGATTGCTAATGATATTCTTTCAACTTTCCTTGAATTATTATTTATTTTACAAATATAATCCTTTTACTCTTTTACCACTACACTAAGAATAGATAACTAATATAATAAAAGGGAGAGATTTGTATTACTGGTTTTTCATATGTATTGAAATAACTCTAAAACTACAGTGCCAATATAAAAAATTCTTTCACTGTTAGAAAGTGACATCAGTGAGTAACATAGGCTATATATTTTACTAGCTGTTGATTGTGACATATAATTGATAATTAAAGAGTAATGAACACATATAGCCTATGTTACAGATAACTTGCCTTACTAATGGTGAAAGAATTTTTAAAATCGTCCCAGTAGTTTTTTAGTTATTTGAATGTATAAAAAATACAAATTTAAAATATTTAAAATAATTACTCTTTAAAATATTAGTATAGATTATTTTTTAATTTCACACTAACAAAGTTGAGCATAACAGCTAATTATACTTATATTATAAATGCAAACGTTTAGATGGATGGATGTTTTTTAGAGTTTGTAGCCAAAAGTGCTATACAGATTTCAATGAAATTTGGCATAGACATAGAGGATAGTCTGGTAGAGCGCATAGGGTACTCAGTTTTGTGTTTTTCAATTCCACGCAGACGGAGTCTTGGGCGAAAGCTAAGTAAAGCTAGTAGATAATAATAATGTTATAAAATTGGTATTTTTATTATATTTTCAGTGAAGAATTGATTCTATCTGTAGTGGATACATTCTACAATGATGGTTATCAAGAAGCGGGATATGAGTATATTGTAATAGACGACTGCTGGTCCGAACGCGAACGAGATAGTGATGGTAGACTGGTGCCAGATAGAAACAGGTTTCCGCACGGAATGAAATTTATTTCTGATTATGTTAGTAAGTCAATTTATTTATTTTAGCGAACTAATCTTATGAATATTGTAAATATTTTAGCCCTCTATCCTTAGGCCGCGTCTTTACTTAGCTTAGGTGGAGTCGTGGTCAAGCGCTGGTTTAGTTATGTAAAAAAAAATGCGAAATTAGATCGATGTTTGTTACCTTGTAGCCTAAATCGCTGAATGGATCTTCATGAAAAACAGTAGACCATAGTCTGAATGCATAGACTACTTACTAAGTTTTTTTTTAATTCCACTCGGACAGTATTATGTGTGAAAGCTAGTATGTCTTTTCTATCTTATCCATATGCTAGATAATTGGTTTAAAGATACCATATTGGTATTTGAAGACAAAACTGTAGAATTTGTTTTATGTCCCAAACTTTTGGAGGGATCTGTTAATGGAATTTTTATTTACTTAATTCTCACCAAAATTATCTTTTCTTCATATTTAATTTTATATTCCTGACATTTTATATAAACAGAAAAAAAATGTACATTCGGATTGAATAGACTCTGAAATTACTGAACATATTTCAAGTATTTTTACACATAGAAAGCAAGTAGCTAGTTACCTATATCAAATAACATCATACTAATATTATAAATGCGAATGTTTAGATGGATGGAGGTTTGTTAGAGTTTGTAGCCTAAATGGCTAAACAGATTTCAATGAATCTTGGTCTTGTAGAGGATAGTCTCTAAGAACACATACACGCTTTTGTTTTTTTTTTTTTAATTTCATGCGGACGCAATCGCGAGCAAAAGCTAGTAGACTATATTTTATATCAACGGGAAGGTTTTAGATATCGGCTTAAATTACCACCAGTAATGCTTTTTTTTATTGTTTTTGTTTAATATGTGTACCCTAATTTATAGTTAACATGATACTTATTTGATTCAACATTTGTTATTAAAAAAGAAGAAAAAAATCTTTATTGTGAGCACTGTGTACTTCTGTCATCTGCATGTTCTACTTTTTTTTGTTTTTCATTGTCTATATTAATTTGCTTGTGAACTGAATATGCAATTGGTGTACCTTTCCAATAAATAATTATGACAGAAAAGATATGAAACATATATTCTTTGCCACTGCGAAGCTAAGATAGGTCGCTACTAATTTTTAAAGTGAATGAAATTTATACTTTATTGCTTTTTTTAGATTCACTCTAAAGGTCTTAAATTCGGAATGTACACGAATGTAGCAAATATAACATGCATGCATTATCCCGGTTCGAGAGGATATTTCGGTATCGATGCTATGACGTTTGCGGAATGGGGGGTTGATTACATCAAAGTTGATGGGTGCTTTGTAGAGGAAAGCTTTTTAAATACTGGTAATACATTAGTTTCATTAGGTTTATATGCTTAAATGGCTTATAACATGCAGTACAAACAGAATGTTTATAAATTATGATTAGTATGCTTATTATTTCAGCATATATAAAATTTGGACATTACCTTAACAAGACTGAACGACCTATTGTATACTCATGCAGTTGGCCTTATTATATAGAATTCAAACATAATAAAACTGTAAGTACTTTTTTCTATACTAAGATTATAAAGAGGTAAAATTTGTATTTTTTGATTTTTTGTATTAATTGAAATAACTCAATAACTACTGGGCCGTTTTTTTTAAATTCTTTCACCGTTAGAAAGGTAATTTATTTGTGTGTAACATATGCTGTGTTTTTAATTATTTTTAGTTTAATGCGGAGGAAGTTGTCTATACTAAAATTATAACGAAAAAGATTTGTATTTTTGTATGTAATGAAAAACTAAAAAACTACTGGGTCGTTTAAAAAATTCTTTTACTAATAAATAGCTACGTTATTAGTGACTACCATAGGCTATATTTATTACAAATTTTCGCGTGGACGAAGATGGGAGGAACTCGTTACTTATACAGCGGAAATTGTATCAAGTTTTCGGTCCAATTTCATTAAAAGTCAAATAACATTCAACATTAATGGGTAGGAAATTAACATCCGCAACTATATAGTCGGATTTTTTATTGTTATCTCTTTCAGCCTGATTATTCAAAGGTGTCAGCTCACTGCAATCTGTGGCGAAACTATCACGACGTGTACACATCTTGGCCGTCAGTTAGAGATATTGTAAACCATTACAAGATGGCGTATTCTACATTATATCAACACCACGGACCTGGAGGATGGAATGACCCTGATATGGTAAGAGTAAAATCAATTATTATTCAAGCTTTTCCAGACTCTATACGCGTGGAATTAAAAAAGGAAGTTGTCTATATCTTCTAGACTATACTCTATATCTATGCCCAATTTCATCATGATCCGTTCAGCAGTTTAGGCTACAAACTCTAACAAATATCCATCTAAACTTTCGCATTAATAATATTAGTAAGAAGTAACATGTATTCAAAATCAGTTACATATGTTTTATTAAGAAACATATATAAATTTGTAACGTTACTAATTTTATTATTACCAATTAAAATGGACGGATAATTGTTTCTAAGCATCTCTTGAGCTCAACAGATTTTGTTTTCTAAATATATGTGGAACAAAATCTGGAAGAACACATAGTTTCTAATAAAGTAAAATTTTAATTCATGGATGACGTCGCGGGCGTCAGCCAGTACACAAAATCATACATAAATACGCGCAAAAAACATCATCAACCAAATCTGGTAATACATAAAAAATTGTTTGTTTGTCTAGTTAATAATCGGTACGGAATCACTAACAGAGAGTCAAAGTAGAATACAGTTATCAGTATTCGCAATGCTGTCTGCCCCATTACTGCTCAGCTGCGATATGACCAAGATAACTGAATACGAGAGGTCTTTGCTGCAGAATTTGGACCTTATAGCTATCGCACAAGACCCTTTGGGTATTATGGCACAGCCTTACGAGGTAACTGAAAGTTTAAAAAAAACTTCTACCCTCACCAGAACATTACCAGACTTTCACCAAAGACATTCAATATCTTAGCCTATACATGTAATAAAATTGGAGTGTTTGTAATACGAAAAATTCCAGATTACGGGAACATGATGTATTTACAAAAATGTTTGTCTGTCTGTCTGTCTGCGTTTATTCCGGGTAATCTGAGAAACGACTGGGCCGATTTCGACCGGACTTTTACTGGTAGCTGAAATGGATAGGCATATTATAGGCTACTTTTTTAAATTCTGTGCTGTCAAAATGGCGACCGGTGCGCTATCCCTGGAACGGGTGGACCGATTTAGACGGGACTTTGACTGGAAGGTAGCTGGTATAAGTTAGATGTTCTGTGATAACGAAGTTTGCGGGCGTCAGCTCGTCTATATTAATAATGCAAAGATGAATGATTTGTATTTTTAGATTTTTGTATGTATTGAAATAACTCAAAAACTACTGAACCGATTGCAAACACTCTTGCACTATTAAAAAGCTAATTTATCAGCGAGTAAAATTGGCTATATATTTATTATTGTTTAATTTCACGCGGAAGTAGTCGCGATCAATTTTAAATTAAGTTTTAGTTTTCTATTACTTTTAGTTACATTATTTCACTCTACCATAGACTTGCGTTATCTAGATAAAATAGAATGGCATTAGACTGAAATAGCCCGCTTTGATGTCGGCGGTCGTCAGCGAGTTAATGTGATGGAATACACTTTGCCCTGTCTACATGCACTATGCACTATGCATGCAAAGGAAATTGACCTTACTAAATTTGAAACGACATTTAAAAACGCAATAGCGTCTGTAATTATAAAAACTTAAAAACTATCTTAAACACCACTTTTATTAAAATTTTGACGAATGAAAATGACAATTGAGTACTCTATGTAGCCTATGTCAATGATAACGAAGCCTTTTAACGGTGAAAGAATTTTTGAAATCGGCCAAGTTTTTGAGTTATTTCAATACATATAAAAATATTCTCTTTATAATATTAGACTAGCTGTTTCTCGCGACTTCGCCCGCATGAACTTAAAAAAATAATAAAAAAGTGTAGCCTATGTTACTCGCAGATAAATTACCTTTCTAACGGTGTAAGATTTTTTTAAATTGGCCCAGTAGTTTTTGAGTTATTTCATTACATACAAAAATACAAATCTTTCCCCTTTATAATAATAGTATAGATTAACGCTAAACGATTTAGAAATTTATCCCTATAATTAGTAATTACCCTAAATCTTAACCTATAAAATAATATTATCTAATAATAATTATTATTTTTTTACAATTCTTTTAGCTTACATATTTTATAACGCTCTGGGTAAAGAAACACCTGCCTATGAAAGGTGACAAATATCATTCCTTCTCTTTCGCACTTGTCAATTTATACAGGAGGAATTTCACCGTCTCTTTCACTCCTGGTAGTTACGGTTTACAATCTAAAGATGGTTATACTGTTATGGTAAGCTTTTATTTAATTAAATTTGTAGCTTTTTTTTTAGGAATTTGAAATATTATTACATTTAAGTCTTTGGTATTTTTGTCTACTTTTTATGTTTATTCTGAATGTATTTTCAGGACGTATTTACAGGAAATTATCTAAGGAACATAACTTTAGAGGACAGTATTATAGTAACTGTGCCTTTTGAAGGTAACTGATTTTATTAATCTGTACTATTATAATAAAGCATAAACACACACTTCTTTGTTGCCTAAGATGTCAGCAGTTACAGCATATTTTTAAATAATTCTTTTTTTTAATAAAAATCCCTACACTTACTTCACGCTTTGAGATATATATTTTCACGCTATTAAACTTAGGGGGGTAAATATTTTGTATAAAAATCCTAATGTGGGAATGAGACTATAGTTGCTGCCAACATCTAAGAAGCAAGGCTGTCATCATGTCATGTCATTTTGACATTTGCAATTGATAAATTGACAAATATAAACGATAAAATAAAGTTTTTATAATTGCCTGCGGATAAAGTCGCATGGGGACAGCTAGTTTTAGATATAAAACTGTATGTTTGGTGCCGGAGGCCTAATTTTAGTCCCTTTCCCTTTCTACCCTTTTTTAAGAGAAAAGGTTTGTAAGGAAAAGTGGATTTGACGGTGGAGACGCATAGGAAGGGGAAATGTCCTCTTTATGTGCGTCTCCTCCCCTGTCAATTAAGGGTAGGCAACGCATTTGCAGTTGCGGATGTTTATGGGCAGCGGTCGTTTTCTATTTCGGTGGATTCAGGTGGCCGCTTGCTCGTTTGCCATCTTTTATTATAAAAAAAATGTTGAATTAAAAGAACAATTAATGAGTTACTAATTGAAAAAAATCCCACTTTATGAAAGAACCGCAAGAAATTAAAGATTTAGATAGATTTGCGTAATTCAAAAGAAAATAATTTATGTACACTGTTTGCAAATCAATAATTTAGGTTTTTTTTTTCAGATGTTATTTTGTATACTCTGTACGCATTATAAAAATCAACAAAAATTTAATTCACTTGTAATTGAATCTCAATATTTATTAAAATAAATTTCCTATGAGAAATATTGTTTTATTTATTAAGCATTTAGGTTAATTTGCAATTTTTATATAAAAAAAATTATAAGGAAAATGGCAATACTGTTAAAACACAACTGTAATTTTCTATTAATGACTTTTTAATGAATTTTCTCATAATATTGCCTTGATATAAGAATAATTTTTATGTCATTACTAGCTTACGCCCTCGATTCCGTCCGTGTGGAATTTAGAAAAAAGTTAGTAACCAAAGAGTTCTTCCAGACTATGCTCTACATCTATACCAAATTTCGTCGAGATCCGTTCAGCCGTTTAGGCTACGAACTCTAACAAACATCCATCCATCTAAACATTCGCATTTATAATATTAGTATGAAGTATGATTGTTTATGTCATTATTGTAGACTTAAATAGCTATTCTGAAAAATGGAATTTTTATGTTATTGTTATACACGTAGGAGTCCTTTTTTTTAATAAAAACATCTATTGTAACATATCAGATGGATGCTCTTGTTTTGGAGTGTTGCCAGTGAAAGGCTTTGCTGGTACAATTTTTATTACCTTTCATTTTACACTCTGTATAACAAAGAAAACAATATGGCTACACAAATGGTTTGCAATTTTATTGTTTGTAATTGTACTTCAGTTTCCATTGCAAAAATACCTCTATATAACATACTATCTCATTTTTTTCAAGCAGTGAGAGAAGGACAATAAGTTTTTGAAATACCATAATGCTGACATTATTTTAACCCTTTCCATGCCACTGCGATTTCGTACAAAGCAAGGCGATGGCTCTGATAGTGTTAAGAGATTAAACTGTCGGTCTCAATTGCATTGATACATTGTCATCCCTTTCTACCTCTTTGACATAAAAAAGACAACTGTATCTATACTAATATTATAAAGAGATTCACGTTAAAACTACTGGGCCGATTTCAAATGTTCTATTACCATTACAAAGGTAATTTATCTGTAAGTAACATAGGCTATATTTTTTATTATTTTTTAATTTTACGCGGGCGAAGTCGCGAGCAACAACTAATGTGTTAATACATTTACACTATCTAAATCAAATAAAATAAAGCTGGCTAGTCACTGCACTTTTTCATACTTATTCTCTCACATTAGACGCAGTTATTGAGCGTTGAAAATCTGAAAGTGTGGTATAATTAAATGAACACGAGACTGTACTTGTATGGATAGCTTTAGCGCACGTAATTACGTTAGCAAGGCTTTGAATAGGTAGCGGTACTCAAAGGTCTGCGCTAGACGACATATTTTGTAAAAAAAAATCACATATGTTTTTTATACGTAATGGTTAGAGCCACGTCTGCGAAGTCTAAAGTTCGATTCTCAGTTTTTAAAAATATAAGTTATCTATAAACTTTAAGTGATAAGTCTTTGTCTTCATCAAAATAGGAGAGATTGTAGTAAAAACTTAAGTTAATTTATTTTATCTGTTACTCGCTTCTTCGTCCACATGAAATTTAAAAATATACCCTATGTTATTCAGCGATAACGTAGCTTTTCAATTATTTCAATACATACAAAAATCCAAAAATATAAATCTTTCCTCTTTAATATTTGTATAGAAGTAAAAGGTAACGTTGTTTTCTTTCAAGTTCTCATTTCTTTGAACTAGTGTAGGTGCATTGCCCTTTACATTGTCTAGAGAAATGCTGAGATTTTCTTCAGACAATGTCTCAGTTCTTAACAGCTAAGTTAATTATATTTGTCAAATTCAATTAAAACTATTATGAACACTAGGAGTTAGAAGACAAGGTCGTAAATTGAATTTTTTTCTGTAGTGTCTGAAGAAAACACGATAAGTCTAATTTTGTAAAATTTTATTTAGACACATTAAATTCCACAAACCGTAATAAGCTGATTTAAATATATTGTAATACCATTGATTATGTAGGAATATATTGCTTACTAGTTACTGCTCGCGACTCCGTCCGAGTGAAATTAAAAAATAATATAAACACCCTATAATACTGACACGTAGCTTTTTAATACTGTAATAATTTTCAAAATCAGTAGTTTTCAAGTTCTTCCAATTTATACAAAAATACAAACCTTTCCTCTTTATAATATCAGTATAGATTTACTTATCTTCTAAACATATTGAAGACACTTTTCGTATAATATTGAATTTTCACCAAGCATAAGTACGTAAGTAGCGTGTGCCAAAGAGGATCCCATTTGATAATTAAATCTACGTTGCGAAGTGCCTGCCTTCAATAGCTCCGTAATATCGCTAATTACTTCGCCGGAGAATTTGAACGACACTCTTATAGTGCTTATAATTAAACCTACTTCTTGTATGTAAAAAAAACTAGCGATTAATTAAAAAATAAATAATAACCCTGTTTGGCAAACGCATAGTAAATTACATCTTTTATTTACCATGGTAAATAGTATGAAACATAATTCAAAAATATTAAAACATTAAAATTAAAACACAACAATACAGTAGCTTTCGCCTGCGACTGTGGTATTAAAAAAACAAAAGCAAATAGCCTATATGTTCTTACAGAGTATCTTTAACATCTACATATGCCAAATTTAATCGAAAACCGTTTAGAAGTTGAGGCTACAAACTAACAAACATCCATCCATATAAACTTTCGTATTTATAATATT